TAGTACATAAAAAAAAAAAAAAAAAAAAAAAAAAAGAAAAATGTTAACACATATTATAGTACAGAAACTTTTTATATATAAAAAGATCCTCTCGCATTTTTCTCTCTTTTTTTTCTTTACCGGTAGTCTTTACGGTTGGCGGTTTCCATTGCCGTATTGTGACCAAAAAATGGCCAATGTCGCCGGGGTGACGGCCATCCAAGACTCGGGTAGTGGAAAAAATACCATTAGATTGGTCAAACACACTGCCATGTAAGAGAAATATGACGATACGTATATAAGTGAAATCAGTAAGAAGCATGGACCAGACCCTTATTTTAAAGGGTTCTCTCTCTCTCTGACACGGTTTTCTACTTGGCATGTTTCATCTCTCTCTTTCTCTCTCTCTCTCTATTTTTTTGTTTGGCTTTTGTTTTCTTTTATTTTTTAATCTCTAATAATCTCCCCCCACCCCCCACCCCCTAATCTCTCTGTCCTTATTTTCGACCATTTCTTTTTACATTTTTGTTTGTTTGTTTAAACAATTACAAAATTTCTATCATACTATTATAAATGAAAGATTACATTTTTTTTCTCTAGGAAATATATTATGAAATAAATAATACATTTTTGACAAAATCATTATTAGTATTTGATCTAGTATCGTTAATCGTTTAAATCTATCATTTTAAAACAATATCAATAATTATTAGGAAATAATTAACTGTAAGTAAAAAATGAGTAATTTGGACAAAAAAAAGTTTGTTGTTGTATCAAAGAAATGATTTTTTTTTAATATTTCAGAGATCATCCTAGGTTTAAATATTTTTATTTTGATCACATTAATTTCATTTCTTATTTCGTTTTCTATTAATTTTATCGTTCTTTCTTTATTCCACAATTGTTCTTTAACAATTTTCATTAAATCATATATCAATATTTTTACCGCCAACCATGGAAAGATCATCAAACAAAATCGTTTATCACTATTTTTGATTCATCATTCCATCAATCATAATGATCACATCGTCTACGTTGTTATAATAATTCCGTTATATTTTTGTCTAGCATTTTATTAATTATACACGTTTCATTGTCACAGCTAGCTTGCTCGTCATTATTGCTCGGCTTATTATCATCATTATTATTATTATTATTATTAATATTAATAATCAACGCGAGCATAAATAAATATAATATTAACCATCGCTTCCTCGTAAATCGAGCAATTAAATTACGCTAGAGCTTTGGCCATGCTGCATGATAGACACACTTGAAAAATAATAAATTAGTCTACTATACTATGGTTAATAGCACACCTTCTTTTTTTTTCTTTTTTTTTTAATTATTATTACCTTTCTCGTTTACCTTATTCGTAATATTATAATAAATAATACTCATAACAATTGTTAACAACAACGTATTCCTCATTTTCAAAAGAAATGGGAAGAAAATGAAAGGGTACGTTGAACGAGAAAAATTAAAAAAAAAAAAAAAGAAAAAGAAAGGGTTTAACAAGTAATTCCCTTGAGTATATATATTTCCCCTTGTTACCACACACACACACGTCGTATACACGTGAAACCACGCATACACGTGAAACCACGCATACACATATGCATTTTGGTTATGTTTCGAATAACAAGCTCTAGAGACATATGACATAAACATAAATTTGTACACGTAAGACAGAGAGAGAAACAAATTTCGCGATTTATTTTCATTTTATTTTATATATACGGAAAGGGTTGGATATATTCTATGAATGATTAGCATGCCTGACGTATTTATTATAATACATTACCATGGATGTGTGTTGCACCCACGCGCGAGATGCATCTATCTTTTCACACGTGAGCGAATTTTTTCTTTTTCTTTTTCTTTTTTTATATATATATATATATATATATATATAACAAATAAA